TAAATTACAGTATGTTTGTATCGTATGTTTTCGAATCTCTCTCTCTATATATATAAAATAATCCATTTTTCAGATCTTAAAAGAATGAAGATAGAAGGCAACGCAATTTACCTTATTATCGATTCAAAGGATTTATATGCGATAAAAATGATATCAAGATGTTATTAAATGAATTATAATATAAATATCTTACATATTTCGTATTTAAAGCGTCAGTGATTTCCACGTGCGAAAGCATCTGCAGTTCTAAAGCTTTGTGCTCAGGATGCTAGAAGTCGGGCCAAGATCTTGTACAAAGAAAAAATTGATCAAATATTTGAAGAATTAGATAAATTGATCATTGCGATTGATCAATTCTCTCTCGATCAAAGATCTCGGATCGACTTCTAACATTAACACAGGTAAAAAATTAATCCGACAAGATTTAACGGAATTGCGAAATTTTTAAATTCGAAATTGATTTATTTTTCCCTCAGATTCATCTCTTTTATTTTTGCTTGTCTACTTTTATTTGAATATTTTATTGTGATTAAAAATTGATGTCGATAACCTTACCTGCACGTCGGTAATTGCTTTTTTGAAATGTAAAAATTTTAATTCTCTGAAAACTTATAAATTATGAAAAAAAATAGTTTTGGAAGAAATATTAGCATATATTATATAATATTATTATATAATTATATTTTATCTGAATTCTAAGTTTTTCAAAATTTTTACCTTTTGCAAAATACCATCAACTAGTAAGTTATCGACTCGGTCAAATGATTCGGACAAATATCGTTAATATATCAGTAAAAATTTAAGTTAAAAAATTAACGAAATTTTATATTTACAAAAATATAACATATTAGCATGGTAAATAAATAATCTAATGAATAAAAATAAAAATCCAAAATTTTGTTTTTCCTCTTTCTTGTTTCTTGTGTTAATATCTTTTTTTTATTAGAACTTTAATACTTCAAAGAATAAAAACTTTATCACATTCTATAGATAATTAATTTAATTAATTATCACGGTTTATTATTTCTGGATATATTCGATATTCGATATTAGAAATTCTATTAATTATATAATTAGGATCATTTGATGGTTTTATGTATGAAAGCCATTGATACTTCATAAGTGTAAAATATTCATGTATATTATATTTCCTCGTTAACATCTTGATATATGTTGACATTTCAGTGACTAATTCTCCAAATCCAATATAAAGTGAACTGTGAAATTATTTCTTAACTTCGTCCTTTGTAATCTGAAAAATAGAGATAGTAAAAAAAAATCAAGGCAAAGATGTTTGAGATTTTTCAATATATTTATTTGTATGGACAAGTTGGAGCATAGTGCACAATATATTTAATATATAGTAGTCTGAGGAAGGGGATCAGAGTACATTCTGGAGTTTGAACACAATATCTTACAATTTATAACGACAAGATGCCTGCATGTTTTTTTTTCTTCTGTACCTGCTTCTGTACGTTATGTTTACTCGTATATTCATATACTCGAGATGTATAATATATAAAGCGTAACGACTCACTATTTTTATCATTCTAAAAAAAGGAGACGAGAATAAGGGTCCTTGTTTATTATGTTATATGTCTCAGTTCTCTTAGCATCGTTTTCACCATTCGCGCTTCTATCTTCTCTCATACCTCGCTTATACTTATATACGTACATACGCGCATCTATTCACCCTTTTTTTTTGTTCATACGATCTTTCTCTCTCTCTCTCTCTCTCTCTCTCTCTTTCACCCTGTCTCTCGCTCTCTTCTTCTCACGATACTCTCACGATCGATTATGCAACGTCCTGGCAAATATGCGTACTCGCTACAGTGTCGTATCCTCCTCGGACACGGAGGTTGTCTCCAATTGCTAATTACATACGCTCCCTATTACACTTGGGCGAGTTGCGCGTCCCAGGGGGTTTCTGTCGTTCCCGCAGGGTGAGCGAGGGCGAGCAAGGGGAGTGCGAGGGGGCGAAGACCGTCCACTTGAACCACAAAGCTGTAACCCGTCTTCTGGTAATGTGCGATTCGCGTGTAGATGCAATAAAACTCTTCTTAGAGCTTACGAGAGGCGACGGCGACGGCGACGACGATGACGATTCTCTTCCCCTTTCTTACTCCTTATATCTTTCTCCCTCTACGTGTATCCTCTAATTAGCGATTAACGATCTATATTAAAATTCTTTTTTTTTTCTCTTGCTTACTGAAAGCGAATACTATTTTACAGCCTGTACAATTGAGTAGAACGACGCGGCGCACTCTTTCTCTTTCTTTCATTCTTTCACTCCCTCATTCTTCACTTGTCATTTATGTCTGTCTTTCTTTCTCTCTTCCTTTCTTTCCTTTTCTCTCCTTTGCACCTCCGCTCGCGGAGGCAGACGCGGACCAGGGCAGGATCCAGGTACTCAAGCTATCTCTCTGCGTGTTGCTTTCCATTCTTTTTTCGCATTTCTTTTTTTTTTTTCTCTTTTCTGTTCAGTCCCGCAGAATATCGGACCCCTCGATCGTTTCGCGTACTTTCTCGGTCTTCCTCGGGTCCCTCTTCTCTCTTTTTATTATTTGCTTTTTCTTTTTTACAAAAATCACAGCGCAGCACCAGCATTTATTTCTTTTAAAGCCCACCCCTTTGTCCGCTGGGCGCCCCACTAAAACTGAGGCGGATCACTTTTTGTTTCTTTCATTCATTCCCACACGTACGCACACAATACACGCACACATCTACACAACAATGCACGCATAGCATACACAAAACACGCATACGCTCTCTCGCTCTCATAAGTGCGCGCGCGTGCTTCTCTATCGCGGTTTCGCTTACGTTCGGCAAAATGCGGATGCATTGCGTTTTGCCCCGCACCTATCTCCATATTCTTCTCTCGTTTTATTAAATAACTTTTTCTGCCCGCTATGAAACGCATCATCAACCGTACATTCGTATCTTTTGATTTGGCATTTGCGAACGTTGCCCGTTTAAAATTTCTCACACCGCCGTTATCTCTTTTTTTTCTTTTCCCTTTTATCTCCTCCTATCTTACGCCACACTGATGATAGTAATAAAATAATATAATTAATAATCAATAATCGCATAATATATATAAAATGGATGACGATAGTAGTTACTGAACAAACATTATGTAGTTTATAGATACACACACACACACACACATATATATATATATATGTGTGTGTGTATTTATAATTGCATATATACATACGTAATCATACGTCCCGCTCTTTTTATTTACCCACTTTCTGGACCTCGCCCCTGCACTCCTCCACCGCCCCTTGTCACCTCTCTTTTTCCCCCTAGTTCTCGCGCATCACTGGCTACCGTTATCTTAGTAAACAAATAGCGTTCTAGCATCGAATTTACAGTCACTTAACGCCACTTAATTATTTAGAATCAACGCATTACATGTCGCCGCATCTTTTTTTTATCATTTGTCGTCCTCACGGCTCGTCTTTATCAACTGTTCATGCCTTAAGGACGAGTTTCTCTCTGGTCACGTTAATCCGCATTAGCGATCGGTCAACACACAATCATGAATTCTTCATTCCCCTAAGAGATAAATTATCAGCAAGTTATACAATTTCTCTACAAAAATCGAAGTCCTGCGCTCGCCTAATTCTTTGTCTTATTTCTTTACAATAAAATACATCGACACGGAATCTATACGCACGCACATCCACACGCACGCATTATGCTTGTACAAGGCAGTCGCGACCGCACGTGATTCGCTACTCTCTTACATCTCTCGTGTATTCTATGTATAATCGTTAATTCTTCTCTCTCTCTCTCTCTCTCTCTCTCTTTCTTTCTCTCTTACATATATGCACACGCATACGGTTTACACGCGCTCGATCGCTCGATCGCTCGCTCGCTCGCTCGCTCGCTCGCGTTCTTAAGCATCTCTACGCTCGATAAAAATTCCACCTCGCCTCGACACACACACGCTCGAGTCTGAGAATCGGGGGCGGAGCCGCGCTCGCACTCGGCACGCATTAAATCTACGCGCTCCCCGTAATTATTTTTTTGCCAGCGCGGCCCCGTGGACGCGAGAACGTACCAACGGTGTCGTCGGTGTCCTCGCGTGCTTCAGTCTAACGAGACGCCTGCTTCCTCGCGCGACTGCCGTCGCGTATGTCCAACCCCTCGCCCCGGTGTGGACTGGACTCACCCTCACGGCCTATTCTAACTTCGAGGTTCGGTTACGAATATCGCTACCTCTCAGTCAATAGTTCCCCGGACCAGTCTTCCTCCTCGTTTCGTTCCGAGCTACGGCCCTACCCTAGATAAGGCCTTCCGACTGAAAGAAAAGAGAAACCAAGGTTTGCCAGGATCGGCAGACCATCAGTGAGGAATCAACGCGATTTCTGGACGATACCGAGCGAATCCAGTCCACACCGAGACCAGGCGACTGTCGCTCGATCCCGCTCGAGGGTATTTCATTTCTCGCGAGATACGCGTCGTACCCCTCGAAATCTGTCGGAGATCTGTGACTCTACGGGCTAAGATCGAGCACCCAATTACTTATTCTTACATCTAAGGCGTCTGTACATTATGCGGCGCGTGTTCCTTAGATATACATTATGTACATAAAGAAGGATATCCAGCAAACTGGTTTCGTCCGTCACGAGAAATCGTGAATTCACAATGGGCACATCGTGGGAGCGCGTCACGATACTCCAGGGTATGCGTAAAGAGGAAGTTCGTCCTCTCGTTCGCGCGAGCGTTTGATCCAACAGTTCGATACATCTCTGTCCGGAGGATTGCTCGCTCATGATCGTCTCGTCGAACCTACCGCGATCAGTTCAACAGATTGATCGTCAACAACTCTGTCCTGAGAATGGACAATGTATTTGTGCGTCGAGTCGAGTTCAGTCTCTCATATTTTTCTCACGTCTTCAAAATTCAATGTACATATGTTACTTCCCGCCGTCTAATTTGGAAAATCATGAATCCACGAGTTTGATCTACCAGATCTCTCTGACTCCAATCAAACCTCATCTATACAAATTCCAACACCGTCAATAGCCACAATTTACAGTCTTAACACCTCGCGTATTTAAAATATCTACTTCAGCCCAGTTCGTAGAGATATGGTTAATAATACGCAGAATATCCCACATCATCGTAGAGTCCCAGTTAGCATAGCACATGGAACATTACTGTCCCGCTTCTACCGCACTGTCGATCCTCGATCTCTAGTACTGTGGCCGTTACTGAGAAAAGGAGCGGTATCCTTCCTTGATCGTACATCGGCCAGTACATCGTGTTGTCCTAACGTTTCTCTACTAAACTAGCTTCTCCAGGATTCCAAGTTCGAACGATATCGAGAAACTGGTACAGAACGTGTGAGGTATATATCTCGGCCTCTCTCCCGGCTACGCCCTGGTTCTAATCCGGCCGTCGTCAGCCGTCTGTCTTTACTGGTTACACCTTGGTCCTAATCCAGGCCGTAGCATAGAACATATACACGCGGCAGCCTGCTCAGGTGGTATCACCAATGCTCAATGTGGCTACACCATTCGCTCGTTCGGTGCGTCCGTGCCTCCTACGGCTGCCTGCCGCCGCCGGCAGCGGTGCCGTGCGGGTGTCCCGCACCGGGCGCGCCGCTCGCCGCCGCCGGATGCGTGTGGTGGGCCTGTGCGGCGGAGCTGCCCCCGGCGGTTCCGCCGGGCAGGACGGGGGCGGGGGCCGCGGGTCACTTGGGCGGGAATGGCGAGATCACCGAGGCGGCTACCGCGGCGGCCTGCTGACTCGCCAGCACTGCCGCTGCAACACACACAGAGAGACAGCAGGCCATTAATGTTTCGTCACGATCACTCTGGAGCGCCTACTAAACGCGCGCGTTTTTGCTTTTTTGCGTTTTCTGTTGCGTTTCTTGTTGCTTCGCAGACGTTCGGAGACGTCGTGGCGACCCGCGGCACCCAAAACCAAGATTTATTAGTTTGCGTAGCGCAATTCCGGATTACCAAGGGAGAGACCGAGATTCGCCATCAGCTGAGAAAACAGCTTGCCCCATCGCCCGTACTAGTTGGTTCGTGTCTTACGCAAGATTCCGTTCGATGCGAATCGCAAAAAGAGAATCGAAAATTTAGAAATTGTGGGAAATAGAAACGCTTGATTATTTTAAGATGGGAAAACAAAAGAGGCATCGGTGATTAAATGAACTATCGAATAGGCCCAAGAGCAATCGAGGAGCATTGATATATTATGAACGTAATCATAATATATGAGATCTTAGATTCAAGCATACAAATTCAATACGTAATATTAATTAAAACAATCATAAAGCGTATAAAGACAATATAAGAAACAAATGAAGTATTATGTGTGTGTGATCAGAGAGAAAGTATCATTTCCGGATGAAAATGAAACTTTCTCTTTGTGCTAACTAAAAAATTCACGCTGTGTTAATTATAATATTATACGATTCAATCTTCACGCTGCACGTTGTTTGCAGACTGCTCGATGTCACTATTAATGCCCCTAGATTCTGGCGATTCGGATTTTTATGTTTTATGGACGCAGCAGAGAGAGAAAGTGTAACTATATCATTCGTGGCCATGGAAATCGCTTATTGACAAGCAAACTCTTCGAGATAGAATTTTCGAGACGATCGTTAACGAGTTTAATCCTCCAGAAGACGCATCGTGTATCCTCGAGCTCGGCCGCGTTCGAGAAGAAACCCGTATATTTCGAGATATCTAAACACCGAGCTACTTCCATCGAGGGAAAATGACGACGGATATGTGTGCGAGGAGTGGTGGGAAAGCATACAAAGTGGCGTGTACCTAAGCGATCGTTTTTTTTTTTCCTTTCTTTCTCTCGCTCTTGCTTTTATCTCAATGGTCTCGCGCCTACAATGCATTCCCTAAGTCGCGTGATTGCGGACTTCCCTCGTTCACGCGAAAGTCCTGGCAGTGTTGGCTCCGTAAGCGTACACTTGGTCGATTAGATTCGCTGATTGGCTACTGTCTTCCACATACGAGAATGTCACGAGTATGAAAAGAAAAAATACGAACATAAGATGAAATTTGATAAATGTAAAACTAGACTAGTAGAAAAGGATATTAAAAGTTTTAAAATAGATTTAAATATAAAAAGAGAGAAATTTAAATGAAATTTAAAAAATCTATCATGTTTTCGTTTCGATTTCTTTCGATAGCACGATTATGCGTTTCGATTTTCAAAGGATACCATTGTATTATGTTCCTATTATTTTCTATGAACATGTTTTTGTTCTTCGATTCTCGAGATGTAAAAGAAAAGAAAAAAAAAAGATTGGTAGCAAGAAAAATGAAGAAAAATATCGTCCTCCAGAAGCACTTAGTTAGTGACATATCTGTGATTAACATCGAAAGTTATCAATATCAAAAATAGCATGAACCTTGGAGTCTACATCTATTTTTAGACAATGACTAGTAAAAGGACGACATTTTTACAAACAACATTCTCGTAACGGAAACCGTATTCCAATCGCGACTAAACGCAAAAATTGAAACTATAAAGTTCTGGTTTTGCTGTAAAAGAAGCTCTCGTGGAAGACTACCGAGGTCTAACGAAAGATACGTATATGAATGCGAACGTGAATACGTTCACGAGAGGATAGAATGTCGCAAATTAAAACAAATCTAAATGCCAAATATTGGAATGCGATGAACTTAGAAATAATACTTTATCTCCATATCAAGTATCAATAAAAATTACATCACTCGATATACAATTTTGAATATGAAACTAAATCGAATTTAGGATTATTAATGAAGTTATCGCTGTCGTCGAAATATGTCGCACTGATTCCTTAGAATATATTATTCTATTTGGCATCTAGACTTTTTTAATTTGTAGCATTCAATTAGAGACTGCATTTTCCTCGCGCATGCCACAATATCATTGATATCAACATCAGCGCTAGCATCGATATCCATATCAAGCTCGATAATAAGTTATCGTCACTATTATACGCGAGAGTCCCATCGGGTGATCTCGCCTATAGAATCCTGTTAACTTTTCTTGTCCCGAAAAGAGAAGCACGATAAATAATTATCACAGTCTGAACTATACGTCTAATCCCTACTTGCGCCCTACTTGCGGTACACTGCTTACATGGCTAATCTACACTGCCACCGTTATACTTCAATATTTCCAAAATATTCAGTTCGTGGCTACGAGACTCATTACATATGTATATACATATAGATGTACAGAATGTTTTACATGTCGTACGTTTTCTCTCGACTGCAGACATTGTGCGATGAACTTACGCTGGACTTACGCTGGAATATCTCAAGAGCAATTTTTCGGATTATCAATCTACAAATTCATTTATAATTTTCAAAAGGAAAACGAAACGTTTTGTCTCATGTTTAAATTAAGCTTACGTTACTTTCGATCTAAAATATTAAAATTGAAAAATGGATAAGAAAAATTAACATGTTTTTAATCCACAGTGGAGAGAACATACATGATATTTGCGACGATCGATACATACGTTCAAAAAATGCAATGCTACAGCGCGAGCGAACCGCGTTGCTACTCTCTCGCGCCCGCAGAATGTACAGTCGAAGATAAATTAATTACAATCGTCGTTTGGGTTTCTGAAACGCGATGCCCACATAGAGAAGTTCGATCGACATTTCAGCCATTTTAATATTTTTGCCTTTGTACAAAAGAAGAAGCGTCTCTCTCTTATTGGTCTGGTAATAAAATAGTACCTCGACGGAGACTCTGCGCGTGGATCGGCTCTCGAACAGAGAGGGCTCCTGCCGCGCGAGTTCCTTGTTGCACATCACGATCCACATGTATTATTCTTTCCTTTTTCTTTCTTTTCAATTTTTATGCACCAATATGGTGTACGGTTTAGACACTCAGGCTCTAAATAATACCTAGCCGAGTTATACCCGTTTTTGTCGAACGATATTCGTCCGGATTCATTCCAAAACTAAAATTGGCAGCCGTTCGCAGCCTCTCATTCGCCGTCGAAGTCGCATTTGTACTGTCCAATTTGACTTCGAACCGGAAATAAGTCAATGCGCGAACGTACATATTTAAAACGCACTTACAATCGCATCGCATCACATCGTACACTTAAAAATGCTTTCTAGAGGCCGGTTATTAATTTCGTTCGAGGTGTCGTTTCAAAGAATCCAAGATCGAAGATTTAATAAAAAGCCTACGAATACCGAGTCGATTGCCTCGGTGATCTGTAACGTTATCGCAAGCGCACCGCACCTTCAAGTCTAAACGCATGGTCCTGAAAGTTCACCCTCCGCTTACTCGTGGTGGCGCGGTCTATCGCAAAACGCTCGGCACCTTTCATCACGATCTCGACTCCCATTGTCGACACCCATCCTTAGAGTTCACATCAGAGAACGCGGCACGCCAATGACGCAACGAAAACGGTCCTAACGCATGTATGTGCGTTCGTTCTTAGGCCATTACGCTCATGGCTCTTTCTCTCGTTCTCTCTGGTTCTCGCATCACTGGGTCCCGCGGGTCGCCTTACTGTCAGGGTCTGACGAGAGGCTTACCTCCGTAGGGGGCGGGATACTGTCCCGTCAACAAGGGATAGCCCAGGCCCACGTGAGTGTGATGATGCGTGTGCACGTGCCGCTGTGGAGGCGGTGATCTGTTGTCCTTGCCGAGGTTACCGCCGCTGGCGTCCACCGCGCCTTGCTGCTGCTGCTGGCTACCCGGTTGACCCTGCTGCTTACCGGACGGTTGCTGACCCTGACCTGGCGGTGGACCCGGGCCTGCTACCGACGTAGGCGGACCGCTGGGGGGCCGGGCGGGGGTTGGGCCTGCAGATGACGGGCTAGCGGATGCTGCAGACGTCTTGGGCGTCGGTGACTTGAGCGCGCGTTCCTGAAGCTCGTGTATCTTGTGCGCCGAGTAATACTGATTGGCATGATGTTGGAGAAGGTCCAGCGCTTTGCCGCCGGGTGGTCGACTAAGATCCTCCGGTGCGTGGTACCTAGGTAGCTGGTGAAGATAGGGGTTACTCGAATACGGACCGGGCACCAGCATAGGGCTGAGGCCGCGGTAGACCGGGTGACCCGGATCGAATGGCAGCGCGCCGTAATGCTGCGGCTGCATGTAACTGGGATGAATGTAAGCGTATTGCGAGGTAGGCGGCGGCGGCGGTCCCTGAGTTTCCATCGTAGGCTTCACGCCCTCCTGCTTGCTCTTGGAGTCCTCGCTCTTTCCGAGATCCTGTGGCTTCTCCTGTTTCGGCTGATGCTTCGGGCTGGGCGGTGGCGCCTTCGCTTGTTGACTCTGTTTACTCGATTCCTCTTTCCTCCTCTGCTCGCCTGGATACAAATAATACCTTCTATCATCCTGAACGGGTCCTGGAGGAGGTGGCGGCGGCGCCGCTCGTTGACTTTGCGAACTGTGATAGACATGGTATGGACTCATTTGACTCTTCATCTCGATGCTCTCCTTGAGTATCTGATGATTTTCGTGCTGCTTATCTTTCAGACTCGGCTGCGGCTGTGGCTCCTGCTTGATCTTGGCCTTCTGTTCATGCGGTTCTTGATCCTGCGATTGCTGACTCTGTTGTTGCTGTTGCTGTTGCGAAACCGGCTGTGGCGGTTGATACGGATAGCCCGGTGGCATGTAACCACCGTAACCGCCATAATAATGCGGCTGCTGCTGCGGCTGCGGTACCGGCTGACTCAGCTCTTTCTTTTCCTTCTCCGATACAACGCTCTGCAAGCTCGCCATCGAAGGCATCTGCGGTATGTTGAGCGGTTTGATCTCCTGCTTAGGCGTAAGATCGCTCGGCTTTTGGTCTACCACCGGTTTGCTGTCCGGTACGTTGGATACCAGATAAGGCGGCTGACTATAATACGGATACATACTGAAGTGCGCGGGCAAATGTGCCGGCGCCGTAGCCTTGTTATCCTTTTCCTGACTCTGCTTGGATTTATCCACCGGCTCCGCTTCGAGTACCGGCGCCGCGTCGTCCGATATATCCGAATAGGCCGGGCTCTGTACATCATCGCGCGCCGAATCGACGATCGGTGCCTCGAGAGGAGACGGATGTGGACTGCCACCGGGTGACTTCCGCGACTTCTTCTTGTAGCCCTGCGGCTTAGGAGCCCGCGCGTCCGTACTCGTCTTGCTCTTGTCCTGTTCCGGCATTAGCGCAGCCGTAGGTTTCACCTTGAACTGCGGCATCTTCGCCGCGGCGGCGTGCAGCGATACCGCGGTGGGGTACTGTTGTAGATGCGATTGTACACCCTGTACACTCGGATGACTCGGCGGTGGCGGCGCCGTTTGCAGACCCGCTGCTTGCTGCGACACTTGATTCGCGAGATTTTGCAGTCCTGGATGTTGGCTGGCTATACTCTGCAAACTAGCCTGCTGCTGCTGCTGTAAACCGGACGGCTGCACCACGTGGGCCTGTGCGGGCTGGCCCAACTGAGCCGACAGGGAATGCTGCACTGATTGCAACTGATGTGCCGGTGGCAATTGTTGTTGGACCGACTGCAACTGCTGCTGCTGCTGCTGCTGCTGTTGCTGCTGCTGCTGCTGTTGCTGACTTCCGACACTAGGCTGTAGCTGCTGCTGCGGCGGTTGATTAACCTGCTGTAACGACTGCTGCGCTTGTTGCAAAAGTGGATTCTGCGTCTGATGCGATTGCATCTGAGACGGTTGCGGCGGCTGTGGTATATTGAGGGGTTGGGGGATATTCGTACTCGGATGTGGCGAAGGTATGGGCCTGGGGGACTGACTGGGATGAGGACTGGGGCTCTGGGGCGGATTCGATGAGCCTCCTAAAGATGATTGGTTCTGTTGCTGCTGCTGTTGCTGTTGCTGCTGTTGTTGCACGGATTGCTGTTGCTGCCTGGATGGCGCCGTGGAGGTGGGCGCCGGCAGATCGTCCTGGCCGAACCTGAGCACGCCCGGCTTGACGATACTCTTGTCGGCGAGGACAGGCGTAGGCGGTTCTATGCTGGGCGACGGAACCCGTGGGGGCGGCGGCGGCGTTTCCGGTGGTAGTCCCGCCGCCGGTGGACTCGCCGCTCTCACCGGTGTGCCCTCGGGTTTGTCCGCCGGCGATTTCACCGGTGTGGCGGGGCTCGGTGCCTCGATATTGCTCTCGTCGTTCTCCGACATGCTGGTGATGCCCTCCTTGGTGTCGTCATCATCAGCAGAACCGTGCGCGTGGCTCTGATGATACTTGAGTCCGTTAATGTGTTTGTACTTTTTACTGCAATTCGGCTCGGGACATTCGAGCAACACTGGACTAGCAGGTGGCGAACCGCTAGGTGGCGTCGGCGGTGGCGCCCGTCGTTTGTTCTTGTCCTGCTCCTCCTCGGGTCCTCGTGATTTCCGCTTGGCCGCCGGATCCGGTCGAGGCGGCACGAACGCCGCCGGGCTCGGACTAGCCGCTGGCGAACCTTGGGCACCTCGACGACCCTTGCCGCCGTTGCGCAGCTTACTGTGCACGGAACTCCTCGTCTCCGTGAAGTTGCTCAGGTCATTGCCAGGCGTGGAGTTGGCCGCGGCGCGGCCGCGTTTGCCGCGTCCCTTAGGCGTGCGAGCGTCCAAATCACTGGTCGGAGAATCGCAGAAACGTGGTGGCGCCCAGTCGTGACGCGTGCAATCCAGCAGCGTCCCGACGTACGTCTTTCCCCGCCACGTAACGTTCACCACTAGCACACCTGCAATAGAGAGAAAACTGATTGAGATGATCGATAGAAGCGCCCCTTCGAGCCTCGTAATTGCTTTTTATACTTTTTAATGACTTTGAAACACACTGAAACAAATGATCGCGAGCTCGTTTATAATTTCAATATCCCTTTGGATTTATACTTCAAAGATATAGAATATTTATTCACTTAGCTGATTATTATCATTAGCTATTAATCTTTTCATCAAGATAGATTTGTATAGTACTAATATAGTACTAATTGGCAACTTTCTGCATAATTCTCAAATTTTAAAATACATGACAAATATTAACGTAATTAACAAACTATTTATTTTTCATATTCCACGGAACAAATTTCAAGTAAATATAAAATAATGTTAATACATGATTAATTTATACTTGTTTATACATGTTAATATTTCATATACGAATATTAATAGAAACAATAAATTTTTTTGTGCAGTTGTACATTTTTTTTTGTATTTATCTGTAAAAATTTATGCAGCTTGACGCAACGCTCCGAGTTATTCGGTTTCGTGTGAAAAAATGAATGGAGAAGAAAGATGGAAGCGGTGCGACGAGAAACGGGCGTGTGTTGGAAGAAATATGGTTGTATATATCGCTCCGTTGACCGAACAACGCATAAAGCTACGGCGAAAGAAAAACCGGTCCTAAAATACGGCGGTTTTAACCCCCGGGGGCCCCTCGAGCGGTTTCATCGCGTAATAAGTTTCGTGGCAACCTGTGACGAGCTGACTCGCGTCTGTCTTCCCCCTTTCCTCCCCTCAGCTCTTCGTTCTTGCGCGATCAGTGCCGCTAATTGAAAATATCTCGCCCGTGCACAGGCAAGAAAACGCGATGTTTCGCAGGTGATCTGCGGCGATGATGCTGCAGGTGTTCCCAGCGGAACTCCCGTGTTCCACATAAAATGTGCGGGTAAATTACTTTCGCGTAATAGGGAGAGTCGAATCGTCGTAAATCGAATCGGCGCCGCGGGGGGTGCCGCATCAGATTCAAATGTCAAAGCGTCGGCGAAGTCGAGCGAGGTCTGTGCGAAACGCGGCGGCTAATCTGTGAACGAGTGTGAAAGGGACAACTTTACCATCGACCGTTGTTCTCGAAAAGGCTCTTCGCGTCGCGAAAGTTTTAATTGTGACGTTCGAAAAACGAAAGAAATCTAAGAGAATTTGCTCTTCTTTGTGAAATGACGAGACCGTTAAATCCAAGAAAGAGAGAGGATAATTTAAATACTGGCATAATACCAGCCGAAGAAACCGAGGCTGAGTCCGTACGACAAGAAAGGGTTTTTTATTTTTATCGCTTGGATTAACTCTTTCTTCGGAAGGCGATCCTCTCTGATGGGGTATCGTTTAAAAATAGATACCTCCGTCGAAATGAAAACGTCCGTGGAGGATCGCCGAAACGAGCCTCGTCATCGCTTGCATCTGCGATGTTCTCCCTTCGCGGATTCGGGTCGTGAATCGAGACTAAAAATAAAGGAGCACGGTGGTTAGGGGAAGGGAGAGGGGGACAGAGGCGGATAGAGAGAACAATAAAAACAGCGGAAGTTCCAAGGCGACCGAAGTTCCTAAAAGCCACATGACACCGTGTTTCTCCTCCATCTGTCAGGCACACATCTCGCTCTTTTTCTCTCCCGTCTCGAGGGCGAAACGAGATGTCTCGTTTTGTTTCTTTCACAACCCTGCGGCGTGCCCCTCATTTCGCTGTTTCTCTTTCCCTTCTTTCTCGCCACGCAGCAGAAACCTCGGGGCATTTTGGTTGATTGAGTCGTCCCCTCGCGCGTCGACGTCATTCCCATTTACCACGGAAGATAAACGTATGGGCGAGCACCGAGGGATGATGATAAATCCGTACACTCACCCCCGTCACACGCCTTTTCATCTCATCTGTTTCCAAAGCTTCCTTTCCCCCGTCCCCTCTTACTCCTATTTTTCTTCTTTCGCGTGAACTTTGATAACGGTCAAGTGCGCGATAAATGACCAATTAGCCACTGATAACTTGAAATAATTTGATAAACAACGAAAAATTGCAAAATTACGTATTGGAAAAAAAAAGAAGAAAGAAAAATGAAAATTCAAACCGATCGGATATCTTTCGCGAGGCTCGTCGCGAGGCTCTCTCCTCGCATGACAATGGCGATTTTGTAAACGAGTTCATCTTCAAGCTTCAGTATTCGCCTCGCGACCGACTCCTCCTAGAAGTTAATAGACTTTCCCGCGACATGATAAACGAATAATCGCGCGGTCCGCCCGGGAGAGATTGCGGTCGCGGCGGCAGCTGCTCGCGAAGTCACATTTCCAAGAGCATTATTTGTCCGTTGCTCGCTTGCGGCGAGGAGACACGCGGGCGTTGCCGTCGACTCGGGTTTCCTCTTCCTGAAAGCTAGCGGACGATAAAGGAAGCTCTTTTCCGAGGCGGGAGATTTGCGGTCGGGGCCGCACGAAAAGGAACGAGGAAGAAAAGCCTCGGAGCCATGCCGTAAAACGACGAGTTAATCTCTTCTCGAGCGATACCATCGTCTCGGTGGCGAAACCGGAGAGGCTCTCCTGGCACTCCACGTCGTCGTCGTAACAGATGTCATATGAAATCACATCGTGACGTTAGACGTCCCCGGGCGACGATAATCGCGATTATTGCTTTAAAACAAGATATTGCTTTCGGGTACGAGCGGATTTCTCCTCGTATCGAAAATTCTCGTCCTGGAATTCTCCTCCGAAGACTCGAGTGAGGCAGATGTCTCTCGCTTATCGATGTCCCTGTGAAAAGCTGTCAAACTTCAAGAGAGCACGCACGCGTTTCACGCGTCTAACCCGATTTTGATGGATTAACGTTTCGGTGGAGAAAAATCATCGACGAGTGTAATACCGGTCGAGAAATATAAAGATAAAAGATAAAATGATAGTTCTGTAATACATTATTTACAATAACATTTGCTCGCCGCGCGATCATCGAATTTTACAAAAAACGATAATGCTTTAAGCACAGCGATCGTTTCGAACGGGGGCATATCGATTCGTTTAAAACAGGATTTAAATTTAATACCGGACATTTTCAAATAATATATAGGGCATTTATAAATTTAATTCTAAAATATTTTAAAAACGATATTGGAAAATATCTGATTGACGGTGTGTGTGTGTGTGTGTGTGTGTGTGTGTGTGTGTGTGTGTGTCCGTATATGCGATGGAGTTAACAGTTGCGATGTGGTCGGATGATATCCCGACGATATCGCGCGCTCGATAAAGTCCGCAAAGCAGAGGCGAGGCGATGCAGCTGCCAGGCGAAACGTGAAATCACGGGGCAGCGTTATTTGTCCTCGCCGAATGGCGGTTACCCGTGGCGCCCCGGAGACAACATCGACCGAGATCAGTCTGGAAATAAGTGGATTTTCTTTCGGCTTCAGAGCTCACAGTCGTGACGGCGGAGAAGTCTTTCAGAGAAACGAGATATATTCAAGATCCTCGGATGGAAGGAGGGCATAAAGATACGCGGTGTATTCCTTCTTCCCGATGACTTTTTCGATGTTCAAGAATTCTTCGCAATTTGCAAATACAATAAATCTCGATGTCAATTGCGCGGTCTGTAGTCCAATAAATATAAAATAATATAACGAAGCAACGTCAAGCAACTTTATCTTGTAACAATTTGACATCAATTTTTTTCTCGATTGTAAATTAAGTTAATATTTTTAAAGATTTCGATAAATTAATTCTCTCTTTCATTCTTTTTGTAAATAAAAAAATTTATACACAGGAGAACTAAAATGTTAAAGTTAATCCATCGGCCAATTATAAACGAGTAAATATTTCAAATTCGTCGAAGATTCTGATGCCGGGAAGAAACGACACCCAGTAGACGAGATAGGAAGGACAGATTATGAAAGGAGGAGAAGCCTTAAGGAGGAGCAAGAGCAGGATTCCGAGGTGAAGCGAGAGATGTTCTGAAGATCGATAACAAGCTGTATAACTCTAACTCTCCCTCCACGGGAGAGAGACTTCTCTCTTTCTCCCCTCTGACCCTCCCCCCTCTCTCT